TGGATCTCCCTTTTTGTACAGCAACACAGTCTTGCTAGTTTTCCAAGACGTGGGCACTTTGCATTCCGACAGGTACCGCGTGAAGAGCCTAGACAGAGCTCTGACGATAACTGGTGGAAGACTCTTCAGATGTTCTGGTTGAAGGAGATTCGTAGGATGAGCTGTATCTGTGAAATAATACTGTACAGTCACGCTTACTGAACTTCGTGAAGATCCATCGAGTGAGAAGGCTATGGCAAAGGCATCTGCGCAGTATCTCAATAGTTGGGTTGCAAAAACAAAGAATGACGTGGGCTGCGATCTTGCAATTAATGGGTTCGAAACGCGGAGCTCCGCCCACAGGAGGCGGGGCATGCACGACTGTGGGCCGTCCTTATCAAAAATCTGAATTAGGTCTCAAACCAGCTCAGACGCCGGGAAAATGGACGAAGGTGATGGATGGGTCAACAAGTGAAATAAAAGGCTCACCGGCGGTGGTCGGAGCGCTCCCGCAGTGGGTGGTACTTACCACATAGGATCATAACACGATTCAACGGGAGCGTGGAGGCCAGGGAAAGAATAAACGAAGCGTGCAAGACCTTATGCGTTTCGGGCATATGTAAACATGTTAAATCCCCGCCCACAGTGGGCGGGACGTGAGCATTCAAGTGTTAGGTCCTTTTCGAAAAGCTTCATATCTCTGTACGGGAACGTTCTACAACGTGAGAAGTAAGTAATTAGTTAAAGGCTGTAGAAGAAATGTTGTCAAACTCTTGAAGTGGGCAGGGTTCGCACTAAGGTGGGCGGGGCTAGGACCGAAAGATCAGCGGGAAGGAAGTGGTTGGAGTCCGTAGAAGGTTTGGGGTCAAAACTCTAGAGTGGGCGTGGTTTGCACCAAAGTGGGCGGCAGTGGCAAAGTGCGTGGCAAAAATTCATTGTGTTCAAAAATGTTTTCGAATGAGGGAAAAACGTAGTTGGAGGTAAGGGAAGAAATATGATCAAATACCTGACTTTGACCCAGGAGTAGGCGAGGATACGATCGAAAAATCATAACCATGATTGAAAACGTTCTAGAACGCGGAGAATATGGTTAGGGGCTGCTAAAAGAGGGCTGGTCGAATTTTCTTAGTGGGGTCTGCACTGAGGACGTTGCCATGTTCAAGCACTAATGATTCTGCGCAAAAGAACTATGTCGAGCGGTATGCTCTCAAAGCGGTTCAGCCTTCAAATTTAGTGAGAAATATCTTATTCTGGTAATCCAACACTACGCTGCATGACTCCATCGTAGCTGAACTGTCGTGTACATATAGTGCACGCGATAGCATGCTAGCCCAACTGGCCCTTTTATAATTCATATGCTCAGTCTACGATATAACAATAGGAAAGTCTTCCACATACCTTTGCTTTCCATCGATGACCATTCCTGAGCAAGCACCGCCACACCTGAAACATTTTCTAAATTGGAAGGAACAAGTTAGATTTTTCGCGGTGGTTCTTGCTTTTACTTACTTGGCTTGTAGACCCCTCAAAGGTACTTGTGGAACCATAACCAATACTATACAGGCTTACTCTACAAACGCTTCGGCCTTCTTACCTTCGTCAAAGCTTCTACTAACATTTCGGCCTTCTTACCTTCGTCAGAGCTCGAAGGGAAAAAACACTGCAGTGACCGAAGAGGTCAAGATTGAAGTTCGTGAAAAGAAAGATCAGTTTTACGTGTCATGGTATCCTTACAACCTGCCAGGTAAAGAGGTATATTACCTACATAAATCCTGCTGACTTGCTTTACCCATCAATTTGATAACTTTTTGAGTTGGAACAGTAGATTTACTTCATCACAGAGTGAAAAGGAAGCTGGGGTACTGAATAAGGAGATACTATCGCAGTGCGATCAAAAATGAGTTATGAACGCCTAGAACGAGGGTTTTATAAGGCCGACAAAGGTTTCCAGAAACTTCCATTACATATTTGATGCAACTCTGTTTTCTGGAGATAAGTTCACCTTGACCTAAAAGTTTCCTCAAGGGTTTGAAGAGTATTTAGTTTGCTTTGAGCTTAACAGTACTCAAGGGTTTCACAGTCGTCTAAAATGCGTCCAGTTGATAAAAAATAATTTAAGATTGATAGCAAATGCTTACTGACTGTAAAAATGGAACAGCGATTCCTTGCGCATAGGTTGTAACGAACTCTCTCAAAAAACAATAACTTACACTTTATTTATAAGAGCCAACAACAAAAAACGCATGAATGGAATCAATCAAGTTACTTTTACGGAAAAATGGAACAACTTCATTTAATGGAACTATTATATGAAACTTCAGGTTAGGATCGCCAATGCAGCATCCCTCTAGTAACGACTGCCCGTTTGAATTCACGAAGAGACATTGCTCTAAATCATAGGGAAAAGCTAAACTGCCAATGCAAGAGAGTAGCGACTCATATTGATTATATTGAATAGAGCAACACATTTCTTAAGGAGGATGAATAGAAATCACGGCTAACGTTCGGGAGACTACCGATGCAGCATACCCTAGTTCAGGGAAATCGAATTATAGGTACAGTGCCATCTAGACTACTACTATTCGACAATGCTTCTCAACGGCTGAGTAATTTCATTCCAAAATACCATAGACATCGGACAAGGAGCGTATAAGCCGGAGAAGTTCATTGATAACAAGAAGTCCTTCTCCACAACATTCAACTGAGATTTGAAACGCATGAGACAACAAATAGTTATTCTTTCTCTCGATCAGCTTTCGTTAACTTCGCAACCAACAAATCCACCCGGCGGCGTTCATCATCACCACCTTCACCGATGTTTGCCTGATATTCCGTCAGAAGCTAAAAGAACTAAGCTAAACGGCCCATAGTGTGAGATGAATCTCAAACGCAACCCTCACCGGAAGCAGAATTTTCGTGATCTTCTCTTGCTTCATCTTCATAGAGAACAACTTTGACGCACGATGCCGAGCTGAGCTGGTGTGCGCACAAACATCGGCCAGAATAAGAGAAAGGTTTTGTAATGTGTATAGGCCAGCATCGAGACGATCCAGGTAATCTCTAAAGATAAAACTTGATTTTTCCATGAAATCCTATCACGTCAAACTCTGTAGGACCAATTTATTATAGTGTTCCAGTGAGACTTTAGAAGTGTGAAGTTTCAGTCCTCGTCACTGGGTACTACTCAGAAATTTAGAAAATGATTTGATTTTATATTGAAGTTTTCAGCGTTGCTTCTGTTACGAGACTGTCACATGCAGTAGCACTCAAAAGTCTTCGGTGAATTGGTTCTTCAGCCGTACTTTTCAGTCGGAACTCCTTTCCTACTGGATCTAATAATGCGAAATTTCTATATTTGGAGTGTGAGTGTATTGTGAATATTTACCACTATTAACCTGCAATCTGATCATGTTCCAGATATTCCAAAGGTCATGAAAATAAAATCGACTGGAAATAAGGTGATGGTCCTTCCAGAATCTCTTTCCTTCTTGTCATGTCCAAAGTGTACGAGCGGTAATGCTGAACACAATAGATGAGAAAAACGCACATAAGGTGCAAATAAGTGCAGACGTCAACAACTTTACTTTTAGCAAAATCTGCTACCGCAACAAACACCTTGCTCTATCTGTGGATATTGCAGCTTCGCAGTCAAATAGTGTTGGGTAGGGTGAAATATGCTCTAGCTTAACATTTCCAAATTTTGCGCGATTTGGTCTACTAAGAAAAAAGTTATCGTCGGAGCATTTCACCGAAGACTTTTGAGCGCTACTGTACATAGAAGAAAGATGCTAATGAAGGGATCAAGTAAAGGAAATGAATAGCCGATAATATTCGCCTTTCAAGCAGAACATAGATTGCCTTTAGACCAGTTAATCACCGCATGAACTATGAACGGTTTTCGAAGAATTTGAAAAACATGTGTGAAATTTTCAGATGCGTTCCTTGAAAAGACGGATGAGACATTGCGTACTGCTCCTCCCGGTCCACTAGAAATTGAAAAGGTGGTCGGTGCAAAATACACATGGGAAGGGCCTCCAGAAATGAGAAAGGAGTATCCGTATGACCAGCTCTTTTCGGTGGCTTGACGCACTTAGTTTGACGGGTGATCGACCATTTACAGAGCTCAGTCTCAGGCAGAAGTTATAAACATAAAGAGAAGCAAAAAATTCTCCTTCTTCCGGCTTCAGTTCAATATTTTTGCAAATCGCGGTTGAATATCGCCTATCGTACTGTCAGGTACAGTTGTCCGCAGCGCGCGGAAGCCAGACAACGTAGTTAAGTACTTTTATATCGACGTACTCATCCTTTTCATATCCTAGGAGACTTAACCCCAACGTCTAAGCAATTCGTCCGGCAAGCTCCAATATCTTAACTAACATGAACCATTATCCGTCTGTACTGTCGAAATGATCGAAATGTCGAAATGCCGCAGAATGATTTTTTGACTCCTCGCTACCTCTTTATGAAAAGGATCAGTTTGCCGCACATACACAGTAACCGCGGAGTCGCTCTAGAACATGAGTACACTTTTTATACACTGACATACGACGAAAATTTTTAAAATTCGGTTTCATTGACTTTGATTTATCGAATGAGTATAACTGGCTCATATACAACGATGACACAGTTGTTATTACATATGGAGCGTCAAGCTTCTAGCTCAGAACCGCCCTCTAACCCACACCCCTTCTTCCAGACTTCGTGCTGATACGCCACTTTTAGACACGATCCCATTTGATGATAATTTACGATATCAAAAAGTTCCTTGCAGATCTTTAACAAACTCAGCAGTAAGGTAATGGAGATCTTTTTATAAATTATAAGTAGCCCGAAGCTCTTGCGCAAGGGATCTGGTTCCCGAAAAAATAGCGAGGTCTCTCAACGGCAGATTCAAAAAGCTCAAGTCGACTTCGGAGGGCAGAATCACACAAGTAATGGACAAGTGTAAGCTCAGCAGGTTGCTTGATAAGAAGATAACTGGTTCCTCCTATCAGAAAACTTTTACTCGGAAAGTGCTCATCAGTCTAACAAGAACCGCATCAGCACCTGCTAAATTTTCATTCAGCCTAAGCAGGGGCATAGAGTCATTTTTCACAAATGGTCGAAATTTTTGTCTAATGAGCAGAGGCTCAACGATAAACTTCGATCACAAACAGTTTTCTGCCACTTCGGGTCCTGTACGCGCTACTGGGGATAAAGGCTGAAAAACGGTGACAGAAGCGAAGCACGTCGGTGAAGAACAAAATTGAAGAAGAAATGAAAAAGCGTGGAGTAATCCTTTCAAACAAGTGCGAAAGTCGCAAACTGTAGCCGAAACAAGGCGCTAGCTTGAGTCAGATACCATAAACGGTACAAGAGCATTCACATTAAAGTAAACACATTTTATAAAAATCGGCCCGGCGTCGAGAAGCAAACCCACCTTGCTCGTCAGAAGCGGGAGAGTACTGCCTCTGCGCCACGTCGACCCTTGCCGCCGATGCGGGCGACTGCGCATTTTAATTGGCACTATCTCTGCTTTGAGCATGCAAAGTTTGCGCGCTCATGATTTTTGGCAGACTCATTCAACAGTTTTAATTACTATATTTGTAAATAGCATTAGGATCACTACCGATACACCTGAGTTTCTATCCGAAGTTCCAGATGAAGTTGAAACCCTTCCCTGACGGTGATGGTGTGATGGTGTCATAGATAAAAGGAAGACAAGAAAGCGTCATTTCTGAGTCTGATTAAAGATAAGGCCTTCTCAAAGACGGACTGAGTGAGGTTAGGTCTTTGTAAGGATGTAAGGATTTGTTGTAAGGATGTACCATTGAAGACCGAACATGCTCTGCTTCTTTCTAACTACCCAACGAGATCGCTTCTGCTAGTCTGAAAAATTTTGCAAAGATCGCCTGCCTTGCCTCGAGAGGATATGCAGGCTTAGAATGAACGGGTCAATATTGAGCGTCATACTTCGTCCGTCCCATATCATTCGTCTTCAGAATCCCTTGATAAGATTTGCACGCTAAAGAAAGTAAGTCGTTTCTCCAGGCCTTTCACGAGTAAATCGGATGTTTCCAGTCCGGCTATCGGCGAAAGACCCAAACAACATCAGAACAACCATACACAAGGTTTTACCATCATTTTCGAGGCACTTCTACTCTATGTTAAGACCTACTGAAAAGCCAAATATGATCGCTTGGAAAGCGTGTGCCGTCCAGTTACTTTCTACTTGTCAAAGGAACTCGAGGTGAAAAGAGGCGTTGAGACCGAAGTTGCTCACAGCTTGAACCCGATTGATGGCTCATTGAAAATTCACTGAGTCAGCATGAACTCAGTAGAGGAGCATCCAGGTGGAAAGCAAGTATTGAATTGGGAGAGAGGCAAAAATATGAAAAAAAANATGCATTAGAAAAGTTGGCAAGGGCCTGAAGGACTTCCATTATTTCCAAGACGTAATGATCTCATGATCGAGTAATAGGGCTCGACATTATTAAGATGTAGAAGATAAATAGAGTCAAGCGTCAGGATGTAGTTATACGTCAGGACGTCAGAGTTATACACGAGTAATAAATGATTGTGGCTATAATGAGGAACAAAGGAAAGAAAAGCCGCTAAATGAAAATATTACGCTGAGTTTGTATAGCAATACTTGCTCCAAGTAGTGATAGAATGCACAATCTTCGATATGAGTGAGGAACGAAGAACTACTGTTCTGTTAAAACAGATGCTACAGACCACGGCAGGCCATGCCAAACCAGAAAAGTACATCAGTAGAGTTCTGGATGAGTTTTTGGAAAGTGACAGAGAGCTAAATTAGATGGTTGAGTTGAAAATTAATCTGGATACGTACACGAAACAAACAAATTCAAATGTGAGACTCAACGGTCTGATTAGACACGAGAAAAAGCAGCTTCTCGAGGGCTTCGAAAAAGTTGGTTAGGAAGTTGGAACAAGAACGAATTCCGAAGAAAGCTATTTCAAAAATATTCTCGGGCTGATTATGCGAAATCAACAGAAAATGATTCGACTTCTGATTGACTTGTAGCCTTTACCGACAATAATTGCCTTATTTCACATCACATCATAGAAATAGCAATCTCCAACATTGAATCTCAGTTACCAGTACTGCTAAACAGCACTTTGCAAGCAGAAAGAGAACGAGAGAAGATAGCCCTGACAACAGAGAGCTGTCTGAAATCCGTTTGACCAAATGGCTATTCATCCACTTATCAGAAACTCATGGGGACAACTTATTCAAAGTACGTTAATTTCCAAAGAAAAACGATATGCTGTATTGATATGTGACGATGAAGGAAAACTCGTACAAAATAATAATATAATTGGTTCGACAAGATGGATGCAAGATTCCACAAAGAGCCACGCCGACCACAAGAATGTTCATGCGGATTAGAATCCGTGGCAATGGTAACAAGAGAATTAGTAGGCAAACGACAAGGTGAAAAGTGCTACTAGCATGTCACTCAATGCACTAGAATCCTGGGACTGATCTCAAGATTTGTGATATGTACAAGTGCTTCAACCGTCGAGTGGTCGTTCTTTCTCAGGTACGAGATAGTCAAACCTTCACCATCATTTTGCCTCCAGCAATAATGGGCCAATATGGTGATTTTATGAAAAAAACGCAGCCATAGTGCTCACAATTAGACAAGTAACAGAATGAGCACCCTGCAGTTATAACTGCGAGCCACTGATGTACGATCCAAATTCTACCCCAAACAAGTCGGGCACAACGTCACCTAACCGGGTGGGATCGTAGGTTGGACGTCAAAGTGGGATCTAGACCGGAAGGGTGTGGGACGTTAGTCTCGAATGACATTGCTTCGCGCCGAGGTGCGAAGTGACCTCATTAGTGACTAACCTCATATCTTAATTACGCGACTCCCCTTGAACGTGTCTAACCTCAACATACC